CTAATTACAGCTTGTTTAGTATACAAGGCTGAAAAATTGATAAGTTCCTACAAGGTAGCTTAACTAACTTTAAACTTTCTACAATTTCCTAACTTTGTCACTATCTTGTGTCCCTAAATTAGTATGGCGCGCCAACACACGAGCCGACCTTTGTACCATCACATGACAACAGGAAACAAGAGACTGACTGCGTGACAACAGTTGAATAGTGGTTTATTGACTTTGTAATAGTTTATTGGCGTGGTCACAAAGGAATCACGCTACCTGGTAACGACGTCGCCGTCGAAAAAATCAAAGCGAAAAGATGTCGCTTTGTCGAAAATAAAAATGGATTGTCGCTGTCGCAAATTGTCGCCCTTTTTCTGTCAGTTTTTGTCGGCTGTCGGTGAATCGTAAAAAGATTGTCGCCACATTTTTGAGCATTGTCGCCTGTCGCCAAAACCCCTTGGAAAGCCTCTATTATGAGATCAGGTACAACGCATTCAAACTTTATTTTTTAAAACCTCAATTTACAGCATTACTTTGTTAACATCAAATGAAGATCTAAAATGCGCCTAAATACAGTTTGTTTAGTATACAAGGCTGAAAAATTGATAAGTTTCTACAAGGTAGCTTAACTAGCTATAAAATTTCTACAATTTCCTAGTTTTGTCACTATCTTGTGTCCCTAAATTAGTATGAGATTATAAGGTATTTTTTTGAAACACATTTCAAAATAAAAACTAGCGGTAAAAAACGAAGTTTCGATTTCCCTGAGATCATTTTCAAGATGTGGAAAAAGCGAATGAAATATACATATATAAGTACAAATTAGGGCGTGAGAATGTCCAACGATAAAATATGCAAATACAAGCGCTAAAATTTAAGTGTTAAAATGATAAAATACCATAAAAAAAACTATATAAAAGTATACAATAAAATAAATTGTTTTAAATTTAATGTAAGCAGACTTCATTTTACGAAGGTCTCGGTTATGTAAGCCTGTGTACATAATCTCTATTGAAGAAAAGGGCCAAAAGTATGGAGCCCAGTTTTCTCTCGGGTCGTTTCACATCGGAAAGTTTAATTTTTGATCGGTACTACAATACATACTGAGAGGCTATGTCCGACATAATTACGGTTAGTAATCACTGTAAATGTCTAGTTTTCATTTTTTTTTACAGGGAAAAATCTACTCTTGTTATCCTTAACAAAGCTTTTCACTGATTTTCCACGGATAAACATGAGCTATCCTCTATGTTTTACTATCGAAACTAACTATTTTTAATCCATCTTTTCTCGACAATCTTGTAGTAGAGACGTTCATGTGACACTCCACTCGGTCGCATTTGGAGCAACATTTGGTATCACCTCAATGAACACGTTTATCTGAAAGACAATATTATAAAATAACTCATTTTATTACACGGTTAAGTTAGTTCAGCGGCAATCTCATTGCTTCATTGCCGGTCCAATATTCTCTAAGTATAGGACCGGGCATTGTCTCTAACGGTC